GCTATCCCTTAGTTTGCTCAAGGTACACCTGCTGGCCATATCGACTTTCCATCAGCACATACACACCCAACTACAAAGAGAGTCCCTAAGGGCATAATGAACCTCTTTCCCCAACTCAAACACCCTACTCCAATGTGGGATCTAAATCTACTTTTAAAGAGCCTGACTAGATCTTGTGTGCTTGCACACCTGTCATTGAAGACAGCATTTCTGGCAGTCATTGCCTTGGTGAAGAAAATAGACCTTGTAGTGCACCCTGCTTTACAGTATTCTTTCACAAGATAACTATCTGGCTACACCCAAAGCATATTCCTAAAGTGGGCACCTCTTTTCTCACGAAACAACCAAATCCCCTTCCAATCTTTTATCTGAAGCCTCATCATGAGAGCAGAGACCACATAGAACTTACTAGTCTTTAGGAAGGCCCCGGCCTGCTTCTTGGACAGGACAAAGTTCTAGGGAACCATCTAAGCTCTTTCATACAATAGTATCAGCCCAGAGGCTCTCCAAATGGGTCTCAAAGTATATTAAGCCCTTTTTTTCATATTCACAGTATAAAACCTCTACTTGGAATTTGCACACATTCTGAGGTCCATTCCTTTTCTGTCACTTGCCTCAAGAATATCCCTGTCTCTGAAATCTGTGGAGCAGTCACCTGGGTGTATGTACGTACCCTCACAGACCACTATGTCATCACTGGAGACTCTCATTCCAATAATAGTTTTGGCTCTGCAGTATTATTGGCAATAACAGATGTGACTCCAGAGCTCCAACTCCCCACTGGGATTATTGCTCGGAGTCTCCTACAGTGGAGAATCCAGAGGGACAATTCTGAAAGAAAAGGGGAAGTTACCTTTCATGGTAACAATGGTTCTTTGAGATGATGGCCCCATGAACCCATGACCTGTCGTTGTCCTTCCCTCTATTTCAAAGAGAACAGAGCAGTTCCCTTGCAAAGCGCTCATTAACCTCAAGGCAGTGCGTGAGAAGTGGAGAACTCGTGGCTGAACAGATTCTGCTGCTAAAGATCTCTGATCAGAAGCACCGGAAGGCACATGCATCTATAGTGGGACACGAATGGGGCCACTCATCTTGAAAAACCATAGTTATTGCATGGTGTAAGTAACTTCCTCTTAATCAACACATGAAAGCTCTCTGTATTTTTAATCTCCATCCATGGAAGAAATTCTTGAAGGAACAGATTTTTATTTTCTTAGTTATAAAATTTAAAACTCGAAAGGACAGTTGATTAACTCTTGATCTGAAGTATTTTTGTTACACAGTTTTGTTTGCTATTGAGATTTTGAGCTAGTTAAATATCCCCTTCCCCCCAGTCATTCATACAGTAACTGCTTTTAAGTTTATATAAAAATGCATTTGTTTCTGCTTCAGAGACTGGCTTGAAGTCAGTTGGACAGGCAAGATAAACATGGCATATGTATGGCAGTGTGCTGTTTTGTGGGTTTGATTTACTTCAAAATTTTGACAACAGAAACAAATCTATTTGCAGTGTGAGCTTAAAAAAACATGAATGAAAATGAGTATCAATTATAAGCAAAAATTAGAGTTGAGCAAAATCAAGTTAATAAAAAGTGAAATGAAAGAGAAAGACCTAGCTTGTGCTGCAGACCTCCTGGCAAAAATTTAAAAGCAAGCTGCTGTGTAGAAGACCCTTCCAGGGCTATCCAGAATCCAGCATTTTAGTTTCCAGAGGTCTGCATTGCATTAAAGCAAATTTTCTTTTCATCCAAGGAGCTAAAATGCAGAAAGTTGACCAATAGTTGTATTAATCATTTTTTTAAAATTGGCATAAATAGGAATTTGGCTGGCTTGATTCAGACATGGATTCTACTCCACTTTGAGGTCTGTGATTCTGGATCCTAGTTAGCATGATTTACCTGTAGACTGATGGGGGGCAGGACTTGAGCTTGAGTTCAAATACAGGGTTCAAGCCCTATTGCATTGTAGTGTGGATACATCCCCACTGCATACATCCCTGGAGTCTTCCAAAAGTAACCCCTCACGCCGAATTTTTGGACAAAAGTCAAGTTTTCTCACAGTCCACCATGAACAAAGGGCTATAGTTGCCACATTTTTGGGAGGGCATTCAAAAGTCTGGGATATGGCAGTGAAGTAGATAGAGAGCCTTAGACATGAGCCCTTGTAACAGAGGCCTATATGAGGCAGATGTGGTCACAAAATCCGTCAAGAGCAGAGCTGATATTGCAGAAATACACACTTAGAAGTGCTAAGTGCAGAGCAGTCACACAAACACAGCCCAATAACAAGCAGTACCAAAACATCTCAATATCAAGAATACAACTAAATCAAGAATATATAGAAACAGTCCCCAAGGATAAAAGGAACACACTGACCCCTCCTAAAAGATAAGGTCAGAATGACCATATGTAATAGAGATATTTTGAATGAATCAACATGTATAAGGTGATGGGTGATAACTAACCATGTCAGGAGGCAGTAGCTAACTATGTCAGAGGGGCAGTGCTAACTTGTTTCTATTGGGGAATAAAGATGTATCTCAGAGGGTGTATTTTTGTCTGGCCTAAGGAGAAATGGAAAATCCTGCCATTCACTTAGCTTGCCCATTTTTACTGATATGTGTATTAATGGTCCAGTAATGTCTGAAGAAATTGATAGACAGCTCAGAGAAGAACAGCCGGCTTCCGAAGCAAGAGATCTTGTACTGACCAAATAGCAACTCTCTGAGTGATCATAGAACAGTCACTTGAGTGCACAAAAAAACAAACAAAACAAAACAAGAACCATTTTGAGCAAATGGAAGTTAGCTACAGGGAAAAAAATTCCCCACTTTAAGTTGTTTTGCTATAAGTTCAAGTAGGTTGACAAACACAGAATCTACTAATCCTGGATATACATGGCAGTGTAGACATACTCCAAAAAGACTGTCCCGCCCCTCCCCCTTCCCTCCACACTAAACTCTCCTTCCCCTCGTATTTTCTAAGAAATATAAAGTTCTGGTATATGCAATGAAAATTCTGACAGTAACATCTGTTCACAAGTTAAAAAGATTTAAACAAAATTGCCTTTGAGTGCCTGATTTGTAGTTTGGCTTGGGCCTCCATTAGGGGTGGCTGGAGGACAAATATTCTGTTCTGTGACACCCTCAGAGGTTTTAAAATTTGTTTTCTTTCCACACTGGAACAAAATCAAGACTGTGCAGATATGGTGAAATGTCCATTTTTCTGCTCGAAAGATCAAGCTTTCAATTCAGATCTCTTTCTCTGGTCATAAGTGAGAAGAAAGTCCTGGACCTCAGAAACCTTCCTGCAAAAGCATTGTTGAAATCCACATGTCTATCCAACAGGTTTTGGCATTGCTGAAACAGTGTACACTGATGAAAATACATGTATTTGACAGTGTGGTGTCTTTTTGGCCAAGAGAGATCCTTGAGAAAATGGTCATTTGAGATGACTGCACATATTTGGCTGCATGAAATAGGCTGCTGGGCAAAAACAAAAAACAACTTCTAAACGCTTGATCCTCTGAAGATGTGTATCCATTTTGTGGCCTGAGACCAAATGAGTCTAACTTCTGATAAGTCAAGAAGATATGGAGAAAGTCCCTTGTACCAGCATGCACATATACTTCTGTAATGTTACCCTGATCTTGCAGGGGGATGTACCAGTCCAAATCCAGATTCCCACTGAAATCAAAGGGACTGAACATAAAGGTCTAGACTAGCAAGTCCCTTTTCAGGATCAGAGGACTATTCCTGCAAAACCAAATATTTACAGTAAAAGTTTGGTTGTCAAGACTAAAGTTATAAGAAATGGAATCAACTACTGTCCGTATGAAGACAAAACAGATTGAATAGGTTGAACTAAATTAAAAAATATTGATCAACCACTGGTACAACCTTTCTACCAATAATATTTGTACTTACGATAGCCCATTATCTATTGTACACATCAGTTATACAAGATAAGTGAACACAGCATATCTGACATTCTCCTTTAAAGCTGATATAAGAAAATGTCTACCACCAAAGTGCTGTTTTAGTTTTAAAAATTAAGTAAAATGCCACGTCAGTGTCTTTAAAAAAAATTTGTTGGCACATGTATAATGCAGCTTTGCAAATTGTTATGGCAGTTTTAGCTCACTCTCAAAATTTACCTATACACCCTTCCTATCAGGGTGGTGAGGATGAAGAAGTGTAAAAACAGGTTATTTACTTCTGTGGAGGAAAAAATTGCTTTGGTTGAGTGGATGGGTAAGTAGAATTTAGCAAGGCTGCTTATAGCATAGTATTTGTTTTTAGTAATAAAATGGTAATAATCAAAGAACCTTAATTAAGACTTCTCAGAGTGCCTATTCTGCACTGGATATGGATGAAGTAGTTAGAATGTCAGCTATTCCTGTTTGCAGGCACAATTTATATGGAATATGTAAATAATGCCCCAGTCCTAAAGTGATATTCATAAGGGTAGACCTGAGCGCCACCCTTGATTTCATTGGCTTCACCCAGGAGTGCGCCCAGATGGATATCATTACAAGATAGTACATAAATGGCTCATTATTGTATTTCAAGTCCTGCAAAATTGTTAGGAGTCTCTTGTGAGAGAGGGTAAAAAACAGAATCCAAAATAGATTTCTTGAATTTAAATGAGGACCATTTCATTTGGTGTCCTTGCTGCTATTGTGATACCAGGTGCTGCTGTTTTAGTGCTTGGGGGACGGTGGAGTTCAGGGGATGCTTCTTTAAATAACTGCAACCACATTGTAGCCCATTTTCATTAAATATGTATCCTTACTCGCAGTGCTTGTCTCTCAGGCAAGGCCTAACATCAGTGGTATCGCTACTTTGATCTTTCTGGGGGGAAGATCAGGATATGCACTTTTCATTTACTGCTGTATGTAATGAGATGACCTGCCATACACTCGTCCTTTCCTAAATTTGTTTTGGTTAACGCTGTCCAAACACAAATTCTAACTGTCACCCTCTGTTTGCTCCTCTGCAGTTGACACGCCAGATCCATATGTAGAGTTGTTCATTCCCTCCGCCCCGGACTGCAGAAAGAGAACAAAACACTTCAATAACAATGTGAACCCTGTGTGGAATGAGACCTTTGAGTTTATTTTGGACCCCAACCAGGAAAACGTTCTGGAGGTAAATCATGCACTGAAGTACAGCTGGAAGTGGAAGTTGAGCAGTGTCTGGAGGGTTGAAATATCCACACTTTGCACTTACATAGCGTCTGTCAGCTGAGCATTTCAGAGTTTTCTAAACATTAACGTTTTGCCTTTTTTACACAGCTCTGAGCAAGGAGTGGGTGCAAAAACTGGACCCATCCAGGAGCAGCCTTAAGTGGTATTGTGACACTGGCACACTCTGAGTCACAATTTCTTACCTGTTTGCTACTGAGAGTAGTAATTTACTGTTCTTTATAGCACTAGTAAACTTTTATTTTCTCCTCCTTCATAGGCTCGGCGTTTTTGGCCTGTGAGTAGATGAGGGTATAATAAAGTCTCTGCACATTCCCTATTTCTCCTTGCCGGCTAGAAGGAGGAGTAACTGGAAGAGTAGCTCTGCTTACTTCTGTATGCTTGAACCCTAAGTCTAACTCTCACAAGGAGCATTAGGAACCTGTCACTCCTCTGTGCTGGTACCTAATCCATGTCACCACTGATGCCTAATTAACTAAGCATTAGAACATGGTGTGTTCAAAAGTCAGAGTTAGGCTAATCCTTTAAATCTATCAGGAATTTAAGAGTATGTTTTCATTGGAGAGTTCAGCCTGGCTCTTATTTGTAACCTGTCCACTGTGCAGATAGAACAAACTAAACTAAACCACTAAACTAGTGGTTCTCAACTAGGGGTTTGTGTATTTCTGGCAGTACACAGAGCTCTCCCAGGCGATACATCAGCTCATCTAGGGTATGTCTACACTACCCTCCTAGTTCGACCTAGGAGGGTAATGTAGGCATACCGCACTTGCAAATGAAGCCCGGGATTTGAATTTCCCGGGCTTCATTTGCACAAGCGGGGCGCCGCCATTTTTAAAACCCCGCTCGTTCGAACCCCATGCAGTGCGGCTACAAGGGGCACGAACTAGGTTGTTCGAACTAGGCTTCCTAGTTCGAACTACCGTTACTCCTCGTGAAATGAGGATGTGATTGTCTAAGCCTGATTTCCTGTTCATCACAGGCTCCAAGGTGCAAGGGTGCAAGTCAGTGCATTTACAGCAGGGGTAGTTATGGCCCATCATGTGTGAGTGCCACAAAGGATACTTGCCCCGCTTATGCAAATGAAGCCCGGGAAATTCAAATCCCGGGCTTCATTTGCAAGTGCGGTATGCCTACATTACCCCACTAGTTCGAACTAGCGGGGTAGTGTAGACATACCCCTAGATATTTGCCAAGTTTTACAAAAGGTTCATAAAAGCATTAGTGAAATCAGTATAAACTACAATTTCATACAGACAATGACCTGTTTGTACTGCTCTGTATACTGTCTGCTGAAATGTAAATACAATATTTACATTCTGGTTAATTTATTTTATAAGTATATGGTAAAAGTAAGAAAATAAGCAGTTTTTCAGTAAAAACATGCTGTGACACTTTTGTATTTTTGTCTGATTTTTGTAAGCAAATGCAGGTTGAACCTCTCTAATCGGGCTCCCTCGGGACCCGACCGATGCTGAACATGGGAGGTCAGTATTGTCTAGTAGCATTAACTACACTTCACTGCTTACTGGGCTCCTAGAAGACATTTAGGGGTAAATTAGAGCTAAATAACAGCACAGAACATTGATGGCTGTAAACAAACTTTATGGGACTGTGGGAAACTTGACAACACCCATAAGAAGTGGACACCCTGGTAACTAAAATCATACCGGATCATGGATGTTGCTGGACAAGAGAGTGCCGGACTAGAGAGGTTCGACCTGTACTTTTTAAGTGAGCTAACATTTGGGCAACACAAATTAGACTCCTGAAAGTAGTCTGAAAAGTTTGAGAGCTGTTGGGCTAAACCAGTGATAGTCTTCAGTGAATTTCTACAGTTTCTCCTTATGTGTGCCAAAGGACAGACAAGTTCTCTCTCATTTGCTGGGAAAGGGTCATAGACTGGCTTACCTGCTTATACTGCCCTCTGAAGTCCTCTGTGGGCAGCCTCAGTGAGAGGCTGTAGTAACTTATGTGTGGATGCTCACCCTTGGGCTAAGACAATCCAGCTGCTCAAACCGAGTGCCTATCACCTGAGATACATATACAGTGAAGAGGTATCCTAAGTGACTTGCCCAGGACACACAATCTTGAAATCTGAGAATAGAACTGAAAGTTCTAACTCCTTGTCTCCGGTAGTAGTCACAAAAATACCAGATAGATATCAGCACAAAGAATGGAGTTAGTCACTTTCATTCACTGGAAAGTATTTGTAGAAATAGCAAGGAAGAAGAAAAACAGAATTTAGGTCCATCCCTTTCCTGCAGATACTGGAAATTGTGTTACACCCATCTGATGCTATTTCATGATATCTCTCCAACTTCCTTGTTGCGAAGAGAAAGTAAATTATAAAGAGGCCAATGTGTCCTGTGCCCATTCTCCATGACTTCAAGTTTGACAATCAGCATAACCTGTTGTCTGGGAGCCACACGATCATTTTAGTTAATCTCACTATAACGAGGAATACAATAAGAGATCTCGCTGGTGTGAAGAAACTAACCATGTTTTCAACCTTTATAAGTTAGACTATGACATTTGTCTGCTGGGGAAGAATTCCACATGTCTCCAAATAATTATGCTACACATTGTTTTGGTAATTTGCAGGATATCCATATTGGTTCATGTTGTTGGCTAATTCAAATAGTATAGGAGCCAGTATACATAGTCTCATTTTATTCTTACATTATGTGTACAGAGACCAAGCTACTACAGCAGAAAGGCAAATCTATAATACAGTAAACTTCCGATAATCCGGCACCTTTAGGACCCAGGGGGTGCTGGATTATTAGATATGCCAGAGTACCGGAAGGGGGGATATGAGAGGTCTGGGGATTATCAGATATGCCAGAGTACCGGAAGGGGGGCTATGAGAGGTCGGGGGGGGGGTGTCGGCAGGGAACTGTGCAGCATGGGAGAGGGCGGTGCTGCGGAACCAACCCGGCAGCACCACAGCTGCTCTGCCTCCAGCTTCCCCAAGTCTGCCGCTGCTGAAACTGACCAGCGGCAGACTTGGGGAAGCCGGGGTCAGAGCAGCTTCAATTATCCGGCTGGCCGGAGCACTTCCGGGTTTCATTTGGTGCCGGACTATCAGGAGTGCCGGACTACTGGATGCCGGACAATTGGAGTTTTACTGTATAATGCATTGTACCAAAGAGCTGCTGAAGGGGCATAAAAAGGAAGATGGGAACTAGTGTCACAACAAGGGCAGAGTTAAGTTTGTTTGAATTCCTAAAATGTGCATTTCACATATTTGGTTTATTTTAAAATTAAAACCTCATTTGTTTTGTTTTGTATTTTCCCCCTATAAATTACTAACTCCTGTAAACTTCAGCTCTGGCTTAACAAGGCTTTTGTTTTTGAGTTTTTTTAGGCTATCCCCAATTTAAAAATGTTTAAGATGCATAGGAAGCAGGGAACAGAGTACACATTTTAGGGCAGTGGGAAGTGAGAAAGGAGTGCTTTCTTCAGCACTGGGACAAAGGAAGATCTGTCACAAGAGTTCTTGGCAGATTTCATGCATTCTTCATGGGAACTGACTGAGGTCAGAGACTACTACTTACCTGACTATACCTCTATACCTAGCTCCCTGTATTATTTTTCATTGTAAGATTCTCACAACCTACTATGGGTTTTAGAAGGCCAACAGGAGCCATTGATCTGATATGCTGCAAAGAGGCTGCAATAGTTCCCGCAGTGTTTAAATCAGTGGAGTGATGAATGGGGTCAATATAGACATAATGGACAGCATAGATCAAATTCTGCTCACACACTCACAGACTTCACTCTGGTCACATGAATGCACAGAATAAAAAATTTGTTTAAGATTTCAAAAGGTAGGCTATTAAAATAACTACAGTAAACTTCCGATAATTCAGCACCTTTAGGACCCAGGGGGTGCTGGATTATCAGATATGCCGGACTATCGGAAGGGGGGGTCTATGAGGGGTCTGGGGTGAGGTGGGGGGATGGAGGGACAGGAACAACCCGGCAGCACCCCAGCTGCTACCCGGGCAGCCCCCCTGCTGCTCTGCCCCATGCTTCCCTGAGTTAGCCACTGGTCAGTTTCAGCAGTGGCTGACTTGGGAAGTCTGGGGCAGAGCAGATGGGATGCTGCCAGGTTGGTCCTGCAGCACCGAGGGGTGGCGCTACAGGACCAACCTGGCAGCACCCCAGCTGCCCTGCTTCAAACTGACCAGAGGCTGACTCGGCGAAGCCTGGGGCAGAGCAGCACCAATTGTCTGGCTGCCTGGAGCACTTCCGGGTTCTAGGTGGTGCCCGACTATCAGGAGTGCCAGACCACTGGATGCCGGGCAACTGGAGTTTTACTATAATTGTAATGTCTAATGGCTTATCCAAATTGCCTTCTTGAAAGCAATAATACATCTTTCTGTTCTATGTTTGTGTCTATCCTGATGCCAAGAAGAAATTGGGAAAATAGCAAACAATTTAATTCAGGTTATCATGAGGTCTCAGTCATTTCCTACTTTTGGTGTGGTCTGAATTACTCACTTTTTTCTATGATATAGTCTAACTAAGTGATTTCTCACTGTCGTAAGAATCCAGACAGTTCCTAAAACATGTCTTGTAAATCAGCTTTGATTTTATGAGCTGTTTTTCACTCTTTTTAATCATAATTTTATGTAGTCATTAAAAAGCATAATATTTTATAAGCTGACACCCAGTGCAATATGATGTGAGTCAATATAGAGCTCTGAAAATTGGCCCTGCAAAGTCAGTGACATGACATAATAATGGTAAATTGCATATTAGATACAAATAATAAAGACACTCAAAACCAAAACAAACATCCTAACCCAAGAAGTGCCAGAGAGGCCATTAAAGTCTGCGTGGGATTTTGCTATTGTGGATTTTTTGAGAGGCATTTAGGTCCTATGGTGATGGGAGGCAGTATAAAACACTAAGGCCATATCTGCAGTACATAGAAGATCGATGCTGCCATAGTCGATCTTTTGGGGTTTGATTTAGTGGGTCTAGTGAAGATGTGCTAAATTGAACTCAGAGAGCACCCCCATTGGTGCTCGTACTCCTGCTACTTGTGAGGAGTAAGGGGAGCCAACAGGAGAGTTTGCTCCCATTAACGTCTCACTGTGTGGACAGTGATTTAAGATACATCAACTCTAGCTATGTAATTAACATAGCTGGGGTTAGGTATCTTAGGTCGACCTTCCACTCTTGTGTAGTCCAGGCCTAACATCGATATTAAAATGCAACTATGATTATTAATACAATGAATGCCATTCTAACATAATGTACATCTTTCAAGGGTGTTGCATCCAACATGGGGTATATTGTCATATGTCATATACAGTATGTCATACGTCATCTTGAGAGATGGAGGAATTAATCACAGAACTAAAAGTTAGTGCTTGCTTCAGTGCAAGTAATAAAGGCTTGGTTATACTTTTATGTGCTGATAGAAATAAAGACTCAAATTACTTACATATTTCTTGTTTTAAAACTGCTAATTTCACAAAAGTGAGTCAGATCAGCTGGGAGAGAGAATTTAAACAGATACATGTACACAATTGGAATTGTTTAACAACACTATATGAGAAAGTTACACTGGTTTAAAAACTTCTCCTCTAAGCCAAGTTGTTATGAAAGCAGTTGCTCTTAAAAAAAAGGGGGGAGGGGGCTGAGGAGAGAGGGTATTGATTATCATGAATATAAATTAGAATCTAGGAATTGTAGAAACTTGATAAGGGAAGCAAAAGGATACAAGGAGAAATCTATGGTTTGCAGAGCTAAGACAATCTTTTCAAGTAATTAGGAACAGAAAGAATTCTAATAGTGGTGTGTGTAAGTATGTATGGTACTGAATAGAAAAGGTAAAACTGTCAATAATAATGCAGAAAAACAGAAGTATTCAGTAAACATCTGTTCCATATTTGAGAAAAGACTAAATGATATATTGATATCACGTGAAGATTGCAAAGTAACTCCATTCTAACAGTAGCTCTGGAGAATGTTAAACAGTTACTGTTAAAGTTAAACACTTTCAAATCAGTAGATTTGGATAACCTGCATCCCAGACTTTTAAATAACCCAGCCAAGGAGCTCTTTGAACTGTTAATGTGGACTTTTAATTAGTCATTGAGCAGTGGAGAAGATATAGAGGACTGAAAGAAAGCTAATATTTAAGAAGGGTAAATAGGATGATTATAATATAATCATATATTATAATAATAATTATAATATATAATTATATCTTTCAATTTGATGTTGATGCCAGGTAAAATAATAAAATGGCTGAAAGTAGCAAATGGATGAATTGAAGGAAATTAATATAATTAATATCCATCAAGAAAGATTTATGACAACTCAATCTTGTTAAACTAACTTGATATATTTTTGATTAAATGTAATTGGTAATAGTAATAGTATTCATGAAAGATACTTAGGTTTCCAGAAGTCATTTGAGTTGATACTCTATAGGACTTTGATTAAGAAACTAGAACTGGCTGATAGATCAATGTGATTGTAAATGGGTGTATTTTAGAGGGCCCTACAGGAATTAGTTTTTTAAATGATGCAGTTTAATGTTTTTGTCAGTGTCCTGGAAGTAACCATAAAATCATTGTTCTTGGGGATGGCAGATAACAAAAAGATTGGAGAAGCAGTAAATAATGTAGGGGACAGGTCACTGATAAAGAGCAATCCAGATTTCTTGGTATACTGTATGCAAGCAAACAGTGTGTATTTCACTGCTGCTAAGCTACATATCTAGGAAGAAAGAATGCAGGCCATACAGACTAGGGGACTTCATCCTGGGAAGTAGCGACTTGGACTTCATGGTGGAAATTCAGATGAACCTGAGTGTCCCGGGGACCACTGTGGCCAAAAGGGCTAATGTATAAACAGGGGAATCTAGAGCGAGAGTAAAAAGGTAGAGGAGATTGCGTCTGCGTTTTCCACTGGTGTGACTAACTCACCTACCCCTTGAAGCTTTTTCTTCTGGAATGTTATGCTCACTTCTGCTGTTCACATTTCAAGAAGCATGTTGGAAACATTGGAGAAAGAGTGAAAGAGGGTCACAGAGAATGGAATGATTAAAGAATTTGGAAACCTGCCTTACATTGAAAGGCTCAAGGAGTTCGGTCTGTTTACCTTACCAAAGTGAAGATTAGAGGTGACTTGATCAAAGTCTAGAAGTATGTACATGGAAAAAATATTTGACAATAGAAGACTTTTCATTTTTACGGGCAAAGCTATAACAAGATGCTGTGGCCGGAAGTTAAAGCTAGACAAATTGAGAATATAAATAAGGCCTAGTTTTTAAACAAAGAGGATAATGTAACCACTGACACAATTTACATGGATTCTCCATGACTGGACATTTTAAAATCAAGACTTAAGGAAGTACTTTGAAAGTGCACAATCAACCTCTGAACTTGTTGCCAAGGGATGCTGTGAAAGTCAAAGTATAATTGGGTTTAAAAAAGAATTCGAAAAGGTCTCGGAGGTTAGGTCCATAAGTGGCTATTAGCTAGAGCTGTTGCTACACTTTAAAGGCAAAAACACCACATGGAGCCCGTGATCAGCTGGGGACTCCCCACTGACTCAGCGCTGCCACTTTGAAATGCTGCTGCAGGAGCACAGAGTCAGCAGGGGAGTCCCTGGCTTACCCTGGGCTCCATGCAGTGCTGCCGATTTGAAATGCTGGGAGGAGCCTGACGCTGGACTCCCATGGCGGCGTTTCAAAGTGGCAGCGCTGCGTGGAGCCCAGGGTCTGGCCCCAGGGCTCCAAGCGGCACTGCTGCTTTGAAGTACCTCCTTCTCTTCCCCCACCCCATGCATCCTCTTTAAAAGGGGGGGAGAAGCGACTAGTTGACAATCTTGTCGACTATCCGATAAACATTTGCTTATCAGATAGGGATGTGAAGGACTAGTCGACTAACTGGTATGGCAGTAGGAATGGGAAATCATGTTCCAGAATCTCAGTTGTTGATTTGTACAGCCCACATTCTAAAACATGTGGTTCCCTCTGATATGGCATATCTACCAATGAGTATTTAAATTTGGTTGGATATAGCGTAGAGGTTTACACGTGTGGAATTTCTGTGATTATGCTAAGTAATTATTGTTTACTGTTATCCTGTAATTAAAGAGTAAGGAACTGAGAGTTGTATAGGAAATACTAAGATGGGTGAACTTGAGTTCCTGGTATTAAATGAGGATATTGCTATGATAACATATCAGAAACTTGGTCAAATGGGGTAGCTAATAGGACTCACTCACCATAGGATACAAAATATGTAGGGATGACAGAATTGGTCATGCTGGTGGGGGAGTGGCTCGCTATGTGAAAGAAAGCATAAAGTCAACTATAGTTAATGAATCAAACTGTAACGTAGACTCAATCTGGATAGAAATTCCATGCTTGAATAATAAGAGTACAGGAGTAGGAATATAATAGCGACAACGTGACCAGAGTGGAGTTTGTAAAGCACTGGCATAGTCTCAGATGAAAGGTACTGTGTAAGTGGTTAATATCCCTACAATGCAAACCCTCAAATGCTTATACTAAGTCATAAACTATTAAGTGCCAAAAACTATTGTTTCTTGTGTCTGCTCACTGGGTAAGTACAGAATGAATGGCTTAGGTGTGTTTCTACTCTGGTCTGTAGTTTTGTTTTTAAACTATCCGTGTATCTGTTGTAGATTACATTAATGGATGCTAACTACGTCATGGATGAGACGCTTGGCACGTCAACGTTTCTTGTATCCTCTCTGAAACTGGGGGAGAAGAAAGTGCTTCCATTTACTTTTAATGAAGTAAGTTGCAAATCTCTATAGCTTGGTCTTTTTTTGCTAAGGCCTTAAACCCTGATGATAAAGGTTGAGTTGAAATCTGGTATATGGCAAGTCAGAAAAGTCTTTTTTTTCAGGTTTCTTATCTTTAGTCACACAGTATTCTGGATGGGTAACAGCCTGGGAGTTTTGCTTGTTCCAGGATCACATTGAAGCTATCACACCATGACAACTTTTCCAAAAGAGCTTCACTTTCTCCTCTCTGATGCTGATTTCAATTCAGAGTTACCTTCAGATTGTGTGGTTGGAAGATGGTTTCTACTTGCTTTCATACTGACAGGAGTTCTTGCTCTGAGATACATGGAAGCCCCAAGGACATCCCCATTCCTAGCATCCACAACTCAATAGCACACACTGAATAGTTATTTTTAAACACATTCGTCTTCCTGCAAGAAGACTTTGTGTGGTGCATTAACTTCAAGCTACTTCTCAGTAGAGCAAAGCTCTGCACAATTTAATTCAATAGGATAGGAGTGCCCAAATTTCATTGCACCATGACCGTCTCCTGACAACAGAAATTACTACACAACCCTAGGAGGGAGGTCTGCCTCGGGCTTCCTGTAGTCAGCGCTGGTCAGTTTCAGCAGCGGCTGACTTGGGGACGCCTGGGGTAGAGCAGCTGGGGTGCTGCCGGGTTGGTCCCCCGCAGCGCTGAGGTGCGGCGCTGCGGGGACGTACCCGGCAGCGCCCCAGCTGCTCTGTCCCAGGTGTCCAGATTCAGCCGCTGCTAATCAGTTTCAACAGCGGCTGAATCTGGACGCCAGCTCCGACTTACATACAAATTCAACTTAAGAACAAACCTACAGTCCCTATCTTGTATGTAACCCGGGGACTGCCTGTACATATTGATGCTGCATAGAACAGATCAAGGCGAGAGGCAAGGATTTTAATTATGTGGGGATTAAACTAAAATTATATTTTGGTCAGGGGTGACACTCACTTACAAAACAGTGTATGAGGGAAGACACAGCTAATGGAGCTTGACTAATTAGAGTAAAAATGTTACAACCCATGCTCCCTGAGTTAACTGAGAACTGTAGTCTCTGTTGTGTGTGTGACCCCACTATGTTCTCTCTTACAAAGGAAACCCATTTATGTATCTTGTCAACCGTTTTCTCTTTTTAAAGTGAGTTTATAACTTATCAGGAGCATAATGAGAGTATGTTCAAAGTGCATATGTTTTCTTTATATCATTTATAGAGGAAATCAGCTTGAAATGTTTCTTGTTTAGGTCACAGAAATGACTTTGGAATTGTTTCTTGAAGTCTGGTAAGTATTGCACTTAACCAAAAAAATCTGCTCTGCAGCACTCACTGTATGGGCAGCCCATTTATGTGTTTGCTGTTCCTTGTAAAACATTTTTCAAAAGTATATAAAGTGAAATGCAAAAATAACTAATGTTATTGAAATATCAAGCTTTGAAAACTCTGAACAATACAAAAGTGAAGATTATGCCCACAATATGAGTCTGGGACCATTCATGGGAGTAAAATTATTCACTTGTTTAAATGTTTGTGGGAGCAAGTCTGTAGTTTGTAAGATGTTTGTCCCTGGGCCTGCTCTCATTTTCAGTGGTCCTCGCTCTCCTGTGCAGAACTTTAGAAGCTCAGTAGACCCCAGCTTCAGTAGTTATCCATATCGCAGTCATCACCCATTCTTCTGCAGCAATTTTCCTTTAATACCAGCTTTTAGCTAGCTAGCTGCAGATGCATGCTCATAAAATCAGTCTTTAAAGTCTTAGTTCTGCAAAGACGTATGCTTATACTTAACTTGGCTCATGGTAGATATTCTCATTGAAGTCACTGAAACTAACTTCAGTGGGGCTATGCTCTGTGAACAAATCTATGGCCTCACCAAAGTGAATGGCAAAGCTGTCATTGATTTCACGGGGGCCAGGATTTAGCCCAGTGTGCAAAGTTAAGCATGTGCATAAGTCTTTGCAGGGTCAACAGACAATGAAATGCTCTATGTGCAACTTCAAACTTTCATCTGAAAATCTTTATTTTAAATTATCCCTACACATTACAAAGTAAAAAATAGCTCTTCAATCAAAGCTGTTTTCATACCTGGTTTTATAGATTGATTTATTTTTGAATGATCCCTCTGAGGAAAATTGTGGTCACAATATTTTTTTGAAAGACAAGGAAAATTATTTGTGTTACTGTAGCACCTAGGAGCCCTAATCCTTGTCGAGGGCCCTATTGCACTAGGTGCAACACCAACACTGAACAGAAAGGTGGTTCCTGCCCTAAATTTGTATTCTATATGGTTCCTCCTCTCCTCAGAGAAACAATATACCTTGAGGAATAGGTCAGGCTCCAAAATATTAAATCCAAAAGTTATGAATAACTGAAAACAGAGAACTTAAAAATAGACCAATTTTCATCGTAAGCATAATAATAACTGCAGGCATCATCACTATTTAAAATATAACTCAGTAATGGCTAACAGACTGAAGAAAACAGGCCCTGGTGTTTAATTGTTTTCTTTATGCCAATAGACAGGGGTCTGCGTGTGTGGTCCATTAGGCCTCTCCTAAAACTCAGAGGACTTGTACATTCAGACACAACAACGTGGTTTTAATTCACATTTATGAAATTAACTCAACACAAGCCTCATAGCCATGTTGTGTGTGTGTGTGTGTGTGTGTGTGTGTCATAATGAAGTCTTGGGTGTGTTGTCTAGTAATTAAGTTGTCAAAACACCTCAAATTGTTTAGCTCATCTTTCAGTGTGCTGTATGATAGCAAATGTTTTTTCAAGGTTTCCCCTTCTTTCCCAACATACAGTCTATGGCCTTGATGCACCAAAACATTTAAGGACATGCTTAACTTTCAGCATGTGAATTCAGTGCCACTACTATACCCTTAACTTTGACTCTGAGTAAAGTGCCTGGCTGGATGGGGGCTTTTCCAGTAATGTGCACTGATGAAACAGTCATGCAGTATAAAGTATGGAGGGAGTACTGTGCTGTACAAGGCTAGTGAGTCTTAACCATCGCCTGTCAAGTCACAGATGAAATGCCCCTTGTCACAGCCTCCTAACGTCAACATTAACCACTGCTGGTGGGGTTGTGCAAAGAAGCTTTCACTACATTTATTCAGATCATCTTTGATCTGTGGCTAACCAGAGAATTCAAGTTCTTGGGCTGTGAAACTAGCATATTTTTAAGTGCTAACATCACTTTTTTTTAAAAAAAGACCACAGCTGAATATTTTATGTCTTTCTTCCTTGTGTTCATTAGTCTGTGAGATGCAATACTGCCAGATAAAATAAGTTGAGCTCAGGCGGAATTCATATTTGCTAAAGTGACACTCCCTTTGAATAACTTCCTAGAATGTAGTGCATTATAGTATGACTATGATATTTATCTAGTACATTGTATTTTATTCCTTTTAACGCAAGGTAATAGCACCTGTTCCTGTTTCCATTAAAGTCTGTGGGACTGTAGGTGAAATTTCGTTCATCAGTTTTGGTTTTCACAGTTTGTCTGTTTTGCAAAATAGTTCTTCAACTGATCTCCGGTTCAGTATGGCTCTGTGCGATGAGGAGAAAAAATTTCGACAGCAGCGGAAGGAGAAAATCATGCACAAAATGAAAAACCTCCTAGGAGCAGAAAACAGCAAGAACTTGACTTCTTCCCGTGATGTAGGTTTGAAATGCTTCTGTAAATAATTACATCCAGAGTAGCCAGATCAGTGTTGTCTTTGCAACGTTATTCCTGTCTTTCTGAAAGACATGAAAATAAAGAGTCGGATGAAGGATATAATACAAAGTTTAGTACAAGTACTAATAAATATCCTTAAATCCCAGCACATTCACGATGTGGGATGAGGCTCATTTTGCCATCTTTTAAAGTTGTGAGTTAAATTGTTAGCCTTCTCCTGCACAATTTATCTCCTTCTAAGTGGTAAAAGCTAGAACCACCAAAGTTGATATGTAGCTTCTTCTTATAATTCCTTAACATAAAAAAAGAGGAATGAATAGTCTAACATCACCTTAGACTAACAAAACATGTAGATGCTATCATGAGCTTTCGTGGGCACAACCCACTTCTTCAGATGAAGTCATGAAAATGAAGAAGTGGGTTGTGCCCATGAAAGCTCACGATACCATCTACATGTTTTGTTAGTCTTTAAGGTGCTACCAAACTATTTGTTGTTTGAATTTTTCCATTTACAGACTAGCTTGGCTACCCCTCTGAAACATAAGAAAAAGGGTTGGTTGTACCAGCACAATGAAATGCAGCTGGAATTCGATTTGTTTCTCATAAAATGGAAAGAGAGGGGTCTAGTAGGAGGGACAGTTACAATGCAGAATGGCCAGAAGAGGGTAGCAAGTAGCCAGAGATGGGGACGAGGATCGCTATAAGGCCATTAGGCTGGCAGGAGTGGAGAAAGGGACAGTTGTCTACTATGTATTTGAGAGTTTGTCTCTGTGTCTATCCCCCAGCGGGGAGGGGAAACAAATAAGCCTCCCCCCAGCTGTGCCTCCTCTACCTCTGTTCCCTCCTGACCAAATGGGGTTATAGCTGTCTTGGTCCTTATCTCTGGTCCTTTGCTACCCCCCTGTCGTCATTCCACAGTATAACGCCTTCCTGGCCAGACTTCTCCCATTCCATTTTTTGAGAAACAGTTTAATTCCAGGCACATCCCATTGTCATGGCACAACCAACCCCTTACTTTGCTCTATATTATAAGAGGAAGTCGTATATCGAATTTGGTCCTAGCTCTTACGGTTTTGGAAGAGAGCTTGAACAAACGGACCCACAGACAGACACACACATTTCTCTAAAGTAAGATATAAAAGTTAAAAGATAAAGCTGGAAGCAAATATTTCAACTTTTTGAAAGAAGCAGCATTTTAATAAAATCAAAAAAATATTTTGGAATATTTAGTTTTGTGCAAAATCCCAAATTTTTGAGTTTTCACCTCAAATCAGGATGAAGCGAAAATGTGAAATCTCACAATTTCCAGTGGGGGGAAGGAGGGGACTGTTTTTTTTTTTTTTTTTGGCCAACCTGCTGTACACTTCCCCAGGAAGAAGAGCACCTCACATCCAATGGACAGGGAAATTGGGGCACTTTTGATTGACTGTTCTGAGTTCTGTGGTTGCTGTCAAACATGGTCCCCAATTGCTGCTGTCACTTTGCTCTTCACCATTTGCAGAGGCTTTTCTCCTTCCACCCTCAAGTCCTGCATCTGCTTCTGTTGATCTAGCTGAAAACTTGCAATTTGGGCTTGTCTGCTTTTAACACTGGACATTCCTTGCGTATTGCCTTTTAAGCCTTTATTTAGCTCTGTGCCATGAATTCTGTGATTCCTATCATGGCTGTGGATTTAAATACAGAGGAAATGTACATGCTGACCCTTCTTTTCTTTGCTGAATACTTGAAAGAGCGGCTTTTTGGAGTTTGTTGTGTCCTGAAAGAGCCTCAACCCCTCCCTCCTGTTCCTGTCATTATATTTGTTAACAGACTTGCTGACTAGTCTCAGTTTGGGAGCATTTTAAATTCCTTTCCTCTTCTGGGCTTGCACCTGGAACTTCCCTCTGCTTCTCCTGTTGAGATTTGCCTTTATAGATTAATTAGCTAATAATTGTAAAGAGCTTTCAAAATGTAAAGCACTATAAGTGCTGAGTAGCATTGTAAATACTGAGTAATATTATTAATATAGCTCTTCAGCTGAAAGCAACCACTCCATCAGTGGGGTGTAGGCTTAGCAAAACTGGCATGTTCTAAATTCCTCACTTTAGTTTTGTGGGTTTTTTAGAACCCTATGTTGTTGTATAGAATGAAAAAGGAGGATGATACCAATAAATCCCCAGCATTGGAATTATTAATACTTAAACTTATAGGCTATGTCTATACTCGTGGATTCTTGTGCAAGAAATATGCAAATGAGGCTAAGCATGGAATATTGCCATGCCTCATTTGCATACCTAATGAGTCGCCATTTTGGAAAGGAGGCTCTTGTGCCAGAAGCAGCTGTCTACACTGCCCCTTCTTGCGCAAGAAAACCCCTGTTGTGCAATTCCGCTACGCTGATTATTTTCAGGAATAACGGCATTGCGCAACAGGGTTTTTCTTGTGCAAGAAGGGGCAGTGTAGAGAGCTTCTTCTGGCGCAAGAGCCTCTACTGCAAAAATGGTGGCTCATTAGGTATGCAAATAAGGATTGGTGATAGTCCACACTTAGCCTTATTTGCATATTTCTCGTGCAAGAAGCCGCAAGCGTAGACATAGCCATACAGTGCATTATATCTGAAAAGTGCTGTCCAAACACTAATCATCAATTTTTTTTACTGAATTAAAATGCAGTTTTTTTTATGAAGTGGAATCTCAAATATGATATCCAAACTTTTGCAGTTATTGGGTGCAGCCATTTCGACTGGCTGCATGTTTTAGTAATTAGAAGCAAAAGCAGGGTTAATTGCTGATTTATTTGAATGTTGAATCTTTGGGATGTTTGTAGCAATCAAATGATACACAGTGTGCTGCATATTATGGTTAGAGAGGGTAAGTTTGGACGGGAGATTACTCATAAATAATGCCATGGCATCTCTCCTATCCTCAGTTTTTAAGGTCTCCATTTTAACTGGATATTCATTACTCTTCTACAATATGTATTTTAAACAGAGCTGTTCCAATGTTAAGTGGAACTTTTTTGGCTTTCCTGTTGGTGCTTAAAGAATATCAGGATTCAGGTTTGAGGCTCTGTTGAATTGTGGCTGTATTAATTACACAAGTCTGATGTCTTTGGCCACTGATTGATGGATGCAAAAATGTATTTAGCTTTTTAAAATGCATCCTATAAGCCAACCTTATTATGTGCTGTCTTTTTCATTTGCCCAGGTGCCAGTGATAGCGGTATTGGGTTCAGGTGGTGGATTTCGTGCCATGGTTGGGTTTTCTGGAGTTATGAAAGCACTCTACGAATCAGGAATTTTAGACTGTGCAACATATATTGCTGGTCTGTCTGGATCTACATGGTAAGCTTTATGTGCCCTCTGCCCATTCTGCTTTGTTTTAGTGCAGTGGAAACTTTCCGCTGGTGACTGGGAGACCCACTGAGGATGAATGAATTTTATGATGTAGGGTACTGTCACCGGAGGAAGGAATTTTCCATCTAGTGCAGGAGAGTGGCAATATTGCTGTTTTTCAGCTGCTACCATTTTAAAGTATCTGCCCAGATGTAGGCAGCTTCAACTCCAGGTGAATTGCATAGAAGCTTGGTCAGCATGAGCTTATGAGGATCTGAATTAACACAGTTTCCATTTCCCATAACCACGTCACTATGCAACCAGTGTCCTCACTTTTCATGCTGGTGGACCACCTTGTACATGAGAGAGGTTATAACAGTTTGGCATCACCATAGCCATGTGGACTTTCTGCTATACGAACATTTGGCCAGAAGCTCTCTGCCCTTAAGAAGGTTGATGGTTTTTCCTTGCTTGTGGGAATGAAAATCAGACTTTTTGTGAAAAGAACTGGATGTGAATAAGCAGCAGCTCATCAGACTTGGGCATTACAGTGGATGAGAAGCTGGATATGAGTCAACAGTGTGTCCTTGTAGCCAAGAAGACTCATGGCATATTAGGGTGCATTAGGAGGAGCATTGCCAGCAGATCTAGAGAAATGTTTATTCCACTTTATTCGGCACTGGTGAGACCACATCTAGAGTATTGCATCCAGTTTGGGGCCCCCCATTACAGGAAGGATGTGGACGCATTGCAGAGGGTCCAGCAGAGGGCAACCAAAATGGTTAGGGAGCTGGAGCACATGACCTACGAGGAGAGGCTGAGAGATTTGGATTTATGTAATCTGTGGAAGAGAATAGTGAGGAGGGATTTGATAGCAGCCTTTAACTACCTGATGAGAGGTTCCAAAGAGGATGAAAAGAGGTTGTTCTCAGTAGTGACAGATGAGAATGAGGAACAATGGTCTCATTGTTGCAGTGAGGTAGGTCTAGGTTGGATATTAAGAAAATAGGGTAGTGAAATACTGGAGTGGGTTACCTAGGGAGGTGGTGGAATCTTCATCCTTAGAGGTTTTTAAGTCCTGGCTAGACAAAGCCCTGGCTGGGATGATTTAGTTGGGGCTGGTCATGGTCTGGGCAGATGGTAGTCTTGATGACCTTCTGAGGTCTCTTCCAGCAAGTGTTGGATTTCCTGCAAATGAAAGGTCTTATGGAACTGGATCAAGGCCGTTAAAATTTCACAATGGGGGAAGAGATATTGATGTGTTTATAGCAACCAGTGTATGTGCCAAGTCCTAAGTACACAGCTGCCATGTGGACATCAGAAGATGAGAACACATAGTGCCAGAAAGAAGCCCGTGTTTCCAGCTGTTGGCTTTTGGAGATGTGAACCTGTTTTCTCTGGAGGAACTAATAATGGATGATCTCACATAACATTTTTACCATTTGTCAGAGCAGGGAAGAATGGAAAAGTGCTTGCAGAAAAGTGGGCATGTTGTGCCCAATGACTGATTTGCTCATGCTGACTCCAGGTTGTGGCAGTAACTCTGTATTGGTGGTGCTTTGCTTATTGAGTACTGAGCCTCTGTCGTTTCCAGCTTTTTGCTCTATTTGAAACCAGTAAGGAAATCAGCATTGGACTGATGCTAATCCTTTATCTCCTCTACAAGCCAGTCCTGGTAGACTGTGTTGGGAGGGTGAGAGAGGTCCTTCCTGCCTTCAGCTGAGTTCATTGAATCAGCCACTTACTAGTCAGACTGTGAGTTGATTGTGCCTGAGGTCTGATCTCACTGAGCTATGTTTTAAACAAACACAGCACTGGAGAGAATTCAGTCCTTTGTGCTGTAGCAATGTGAAGATAAAAGAATTTAAATAAAAATAATGAAATTCTTTGACCTGGTTTGGTCAGAAAAATAGCTTGTTTGCTTACAGATAATTCTGTAAACTCTGAGTGATAACACCCGTTCAGAACTGTTTTGTGTAATGTACAGAAATTCTGGTTTTGGCCCACTCTTTTCTTTTCTTTTCTTTTCTTTTCTTTTCTTTTCTTTTCTTTTCTTTTCTTTTCTTTTCTTTTCTTTTCTTTTCTTTTCTTTTCTTTTCTTTTCTTTTCTTTTCTTTTCTTTTCTTTTCTTTTCTTTTCTTTTCTTTTCTTTTCTTTTCTTTTCTTTTCTTTTCTTTTCTTTATCATTTATCCCCCAGGAACAGGGTTGTGCTTCCCTTCAGAAGGATGGAATATTCCCTGTTCCTGCCCCCGAGAGAAAGGGCAGGTTCCTGCCTGTGCCCCAAGATGCATGCCTGCCCTTGTGGGAGGGTATCTGCCTCATTACGTGTGCCAGTTATCTTGCTTGACCATAGTCTGATCTGCATCCCATTTTGCTCGTTTCTCACACACTATAGTTTGCTGGTGTATTTGTTTCTCCTGTGACGGATACCCATGTTAATGCTTTTGCACTTCCATTAATTCTCAGAGCACTTTGCAGACACTAACTACATCTTGCATCAGACCTGGGCATATGTTTCATTATACTGAAGCCTGGTGAGAATAAATGACTGATCTAAAATCCCTTGGCTAAGCAGTGACAGAACCCAGAGGTTTCTTGCCCATTTGGTCTATTTTAAACACAGTAAACCACATCTAAAATGTGGCTCCTTTGCTGTCGCTTAACTGTAAACAGGAAACCCACACTTTTATTAATTGTCAAATGACATTAATAAAAAGTGAAAAATTTAAGTGACACCAGTAAAAGAGAGGACTGGAGAAAGATCTGTCGAGAGAGTACATGTTACTTCATGAGGGCCCTGTGTACCTTTTATATAACCTCCAATCATCAAACCTTTATTTTCTGTGATGTATTTAAAAGGTGCTATTTTAGCTTAGATGTTTCTGTCTTTACCGCTTAAAAAGATTAGTTAAAAATAGCTGGATGCTGCTATAAACTCTGTTAAAATTGTTTAATTACATTATAAATGATTATGGAGTATCTGGTTGCTTGTTCATTCAAAAATATATTTGCAATCAACTGCTTTACTTTCTCCACTTCAGTGCTGATTTATGAGCTGAAGGCTAAGCTGTGTAAATGCTGGCCAGACCAATCTGGGATTCTAATCACCAGCATATTTGCTTTGAATTATTTTCCAGCTCTCCATTTTATTGTTTTAAAGCTTTTCTGGGAATCAGCGTAAGTTTTATTACCTCAGTAATGCCTTGCTGGATTGCAGCATGCCTTTCTTTAAGTATGTGAATGCTCATTGATGACAGTGGGATTACTTGGGTGTTTAAGGTTAGGTATGAGTGTAAGTGCATTGCTGAGTCACGGCCTAAAATGTAGAATGTACTGTTCACTTGGAAGGAGAGTTGTTTCCAGTTTGTACATTTATACATTTGTAGTTTTTAAATTGGTTTATGAATGGTAGGGAACACTATGCAGAGGGGGAAAACTCCCAAAACACAGGTGTCTTCTAACTTGAGATAATGTAGACTCTCCATTTCCTGTCACCAGAGGGTAACAGCATTATCAGTTATGGTTAAGTGTCTCACCTGCTTAGTTTCTTTTGGAAAATACCCCTGAGCACCTGTCTCAGGGCACGTCTACACTACAGGGAAGATTGACGCTGCCACAGTCAATCTGGGGTTCGATTTAGTGGGTGTAGTTCAGACCAGCTAGATCAAACTCAAAGGATGCCCCCATTGGCACCAGTATTCCTCTTTATGAGGAGAAAAGGAAGCTGACAGGAGCATTTGGTCCCGTCAGCCTCCTGCTGTGTGGACGGTGTGAAAACACAATGTAAGATATGTCGACTATAGCTATGTAATTTACGTAGCTAGAGTTGTGTATCTTACTTCGACCTTCCCATTCTTTCCAGGGCTGAGCCCAGCACCTCCAGGCTTGACAGTTCACAGTCCTGGCAGCTTTGGACTGGCCACATCCGTTATGAAAGTTTAAAAAAAAATTGCTTGAGCCCCAGCACCTAATTGCTTGAGCCAAGTCACCTTTTTCTTTACAAATTAAGTACCCCTATCTTTAAGAGTCTAAATACCTTTGTAAATCTGGCCCACCTGCCTCTACATAATGGATGAAAGTGGTTCACATACATGCTGGTCAGAACATTTTAAAAAAGTGACATATTAACGACTCTGATTTTCTGAGAAATGTGCTGATCATTCTCTGGTCAGACTGAATTACAAGAATATTTTTTTCCTTTGCATTGTTTGCTTTTAATTTTGTAATCCTCAAACAGACAGGTACATAAATGAGTTTCATCTAATTGAAATGCATGCATTTTGGGAGCTCTATTCGGAAGCCCATTTATTTCAAGAGAGGTTTTGCCCAAATTAAGGAGTGGGTTAGGACTTCAGTCCTTTGTGACTGGATAAAGATTTGCTGCTGAAAGATAATTGTCGAGACCAAATGCAGTTGGCAGTTTTATTAACATTATTATACTTAATTATACAATTAAAACAATTATTTGGAGCTTTTATGTATAGTAACATTTTGATTTGGAGAACTGTTTCATGCTATTAGAAATAATAAATTTGGAGCCTGAAAAGAGCTAAATAAGCATAACTCTGTGTGTGTTTGTATGTATACATGCACAAACCCTTTAAAAACAAGACTGTATCATGAGTAAAACTTTTCATGTTGAATTCTGTGTGTGTGCGTGCATGTGTATTGTATATACGTTTAACCTCAATTTATACTTTCCTGTCTTTCTAAAATTTAGCTTAGGGGCTATATTTGTATGCATGGCTTTTTTAAATAAAATAGTCTCCTCTATTTCCCCACTTGAGTTATTGGTAGTTCTTCAGTCTTCACTTCAGTTTAATTTTTTTTACTTCTTCTCAAAATCAGGGACATGCTTGAATATATCAGTGATACAAAAAAGAAATGTTATACTTTTTTTTTTTCAAAAGCACCTAGGTACTATTTTTTTAAAAAAAGGGCACACTTGGAAAATTTTACCTGTGGTATACTTCCTGTTTTAAAGGGAGTGAATAAAACAACAAGTGCCCCTCTTTGGCACTTTTTCCTGCTTAAAAGCTCCTGAGTTTGGCATAAAATGGGGAAATCTGTTAAGCTGAATGAAATATAACATTTTGATAGTCCATCAGTTGTAATTTAGCTCATTTGGACCTTTATTCTGCAAACTGCAAAATCAGGACCTGGGTGTCTTGTGTATTTACTAACAAGGCTATTGATCATTATATTTTCCTTACAGGTACATGTCAACTTTGTATTCTCATCCAGATTTCCCAAGAAAAGGACCAAAGGAGATTAATAAAGAATTGATGAACAGTGTCAGTCATAACCCACTTCTGCTGCTCACCCCTCAGAAAGTCAAACGCTACATTGAAGCATTATGGAATAAGAAACGTTTTGGGCAGCCTGTGACGTTCACTGATATCTTCGGAATGTTGATAGGGGAAACGCTTATCCACAATGTAAGTGTGTTTTTATGGTTGTTAGAACTGGGAGAATATTAGAAAATAACATCTGCAGATATTCATTTCAGCTGACTTTTTTTTGTGTCCTCACTAAAGGACACAAAACACGTTTTGTACTACTATCAAACACGTTTAGTAGCAGGAATATTTGTCAAATGAATGGATTAGTTATTTGAAATTAAGAAAATTGTCATCTATGCACAGTTAGGGCATGTCTACACGGAAAACGCCAATATTTGCTATATTTTATCTGTCCTTCAAAGTCATCTCTTTTCATCAAAAATTCTGATCCAGAGAGTAGTATATCAGCCTATACTTTTCACAGCAAAACAATGTTTTCAAATAATTAAGGTGCAAATACAGAGAAACAATGGTCTTGTCATTCTCAGGGATGAGAGTTGGGATATTCAGGAGATGGAAAAAAAGTGGGGATTAAAATATCCACTCCTCCCCATCTTTTTCTACTATCTCTTTCAAGATATTAATGATCAACTCAAACCAGACTCTAGATTTTTCTATCACTAGTTTACAGCAAGTTTAGATCTCAAGTCTGCAGGTTAGAGACCAACTCTGCAAAACGTATGCAAGACTGGCATTGTTCATCACTTCACAAGAAACTTTTAAACCATCTGGCTTCCCTTTGTTCTCAAATAATTTTCTGCTGCACTTCAGACTGTTTAGTATCTTATTTTTGGGAGAGGGCTGAATAGGGTCCAGTATAATCCATTTGAGCGATTTTTCAAAAGCAGCATCTGACTTTGATCTCTCAAGTTTTCAGCACTCAACTGCCTGCATACTGAATAAGGATGTTTAGTATCGATTAATTTACTAGTCAAGTAGTCAATGGAATTTCCATCGACTACTCGACTAGTCATTAAGGAAGGGCACTTTAAGCGCTCACTTCCAGTTCAGGCTGCATCTGAGCACAACTCCCAGCTGCAGCTCTGCACTCTTAAAGGGACAGAGAGGAGCAAAGACACTGGCTCATTCTCTGGTCCCCTGCTGGGTCTCAGGACAACCCTCACGCTGCCACTCTTCATTTTTAAAAGGGACGCAACAGCGGCAGCCTGTCCAGTTGTCTGTCTCAGCACAAGCCGGGTGCCACTGCATGTGTCCCTTTTAAAAATGCAGAGGGATCGCATGAGGGGAGTTGGGAGTGAGGAGGGTGGCTGCTGCTGCTGCATCCCTTTTAAAAATGCAGAGTGGCAGCGTGAGGGTTGCCCTGAGACCCAGCGAAGGACCAGAGAATGAGCTGGTTTCTTTGCATACCGGCTCCTCTCTGTCCCTTTAAGAGTGCAGAGCAGCAGCTGGGAGTTGTACTCAGATGCAGCCTGATCTGGAAGAGAGCACTTTAAGCGCCCTTCCTTAATGACTAGTCGAGTAGTCGATGGAACTAGTAAATTAATCGATATTTAACATCCTTAGTCTACACAGCAGGGCTAAAGCCAAAATAAGCTACGCATCTCGAGCGACGTCAATTGCATATCTTAAGTCCAAATAGCTTATTTCGGCTTTTGGCATGGTCTACACAGCAGGAAGTCCAAGAGAGAGCACTCTTCCTCTGACTTCCCTTATTCCTTGTAAAGTAAGGGTTACAGATGTTGGAGTAAGAAGTCCGTCAGCTTGACATTATTTTGACATTATGTCTAATAACTACTTGTAGTGTAGATGCGGACTGTGTTGTTTTGGAATAATGCCAGTTATTCTGAAATAACACTGCTGTGTAGACACACCCTTCATGAGTAAGAAAAGAGGCAGCATTTGTCTATCATGTCTGTTATGAGGTAGTAGCCCAAATCTAGTTTGTCCATCTGTTTGTTTATTTATGCTATGAGTTTCCTATCACTAACTTTCAAAAATTGAAAGATGTCATAGGTTAAATCTGTTTTGTAGTATTAAACGCAAATCCTACCTGACCAATTTATGTAATACACTTGTTGAAGTCCAGTGAATCATGTGAACAAGATTTGCCATTAATCATGTACAGTAAGCAAAGTGCACTTACACGCTGAAATATAGTAATATAATATATAATAGTTTTATCTGATACTCTGCAGTGTGCATGGGTACAAATGATCGACACCGATATTGACTTATTCTGAGATTAATGGCTGTGAAATATTAACAGGGAGGAGGGCAAAACGGTTCTTGAAATGTGATATGCATACTATATTCCCTGAAAGAAAGGGGTGATGGTGGTTAGAATCACTCCTGTTTATGTAGAGGAATAAAAATAGCACTGAGAACTTAGACAAATATCCAGATTGAAGAAAGAAGTCATTGAAAGAGCTGGAAATAAAACCAAAGTTTATTGGCTCCCAAGATTGTGTCCTAAGCAGTAGATCACATTTCTTATATCTATCATATTATAGTAAATGGTGGTTCAGCCTAAGAGAAAGCATTAAGGTTTTGATTACCTTCCTAACCCCCTGCGATATTTTTCTTGATACCTTTTCTGGGTGCTTGTCTACACATGGAAAATTAATCTGAAATAAGGACAGGTATATATTTAAACCACATTAACTATTCCTGATTAACTTCATGTGTTGTTGTTCTTATAGTGGACTGAGAGTAGCATATTCTGAATTTTCTTAATCCAGATTAACTTTACCCTTTACTCTTCATATATCTGCCAGATTCTCAAAACACACCCAATAGGGCCTGAAAAGTCTGCTCCTGCTCTCAAACATGGTAAATAGTTCAGTGAGCATGGGAACTAGAATCCCCCTACTACTGGATTTACTACCTTAATTTCTGTAGATTAATATTTATGGTCCAGATTCATAGAGATTAGCTCCTTTTATGGTGATGAATTCTGATTTTTCAGGGGGGGTTTCTTTTGTGTTGATTTCAGCAAAATGAAAAGTCTTCCTAGCAGCAGGTCATCCATCTCCAGGTGATTTTGAGTCAACCTCTCTTCTCTTTTTTCTGCAGAGGATGAACACTACTCTGAGCAAAATGAAAGAGAAGATCAATGAGGCACAATGTGCTTTGCCACTCTTTACTTGCCTTCATGTCAAACCTGACGTGTCAGAACTTATGTTTGCAGGTACTATTTCAACCTCTTTATTTAGTTGTCATGTGCAAGGGTTCTCCCCCCCCCCCACACACACACACTTTTAAAAAGTCCCTCTTCTTCTTAATTCATTTTGGGACTAATTATATCCCATGTCTTGGCTAAATCTTGAGTTATTGGTCCCATTGTGAGAATTACTAAAGAAACTAGGTTAACTTTAAACAATGGTCAAAGCTATTAAAGTTCATAACTATATGGAAATTGAACCAATTAAGGAATCAATTTGCAAACATCTGGAAGATAATAAGGTAATAAGTAATAGTCAGCATGGATTTGTAAAGAACAAATCATGTAGCTTTTTTTGACAGGGTAACAAGCCTTGTGCATAGGGGGAAGCAGTAGATGTGGTATATCTAGACTTTATTACTCTCTTGATATTGTCTTGCATGACCTTCTCATTAACAAGCTAGGAAAATACAATCTAGATGAAGCTACTATTAGGTGGGTACCTAACTGGTTGGATAACAGTCACCAGAAAGTGATTACTAGTGGTTCATAGTCCTGCTGGAAGGGCATAATGAGTGGGGTTCCACAGCGATCAGTTCTGGGACTGGTTCTGTTCAGTATCTTCAACAGTGATTGAGATAACGGCATTGAGAGTTTGTTTATAAAATTTTCAGATGATATCAAGCTGGGAGGGGTTGTAAGTGCCAATTCTAGACACCACTTTTCAGGAAAGATGTGAACAAATTGGAGAAAGTCCGAGAAGAGCAACAAAAATGTTTGAAGGTCTAGAAAACATGTCCTCTGAGGGAAGATTGAAAGAATTGGGCTTGTTTAGTCTGGAAAAGAGAAGACTGAGAGAGGGGGCATGATCACTGTTTTCAAGTATCTAAAAAGTTGTTATAAGGAGTAGGGAGAAAAAGTATTCTCCTTAACCTCTAAGGATATGACAAGAAGCAATGGACTTAAATTGCAGCATGTTTAGTATGGACATTAGGAAAAGCTTGCTCAATGTCAGGGTGGTTAAACACTGGAATAAATTGCCTCAGGAGGTTGTGGAATCTCCATCATTGGCGATTTTAAGAGCAGGTTAGACAATCACTTGTCTAGATGGTGCTTGGTCCTGGAAGGAGGGCAGGGGACTAGACTTGGTGACCTCTCAAGGGCTGTGTCTAGACTGGCAAGTTTTTCTGCAAAATCATCTGCTTTTGCGGAAAAACTTGCCAGCTGTCTACACTGGTCGTTTGAATTTCCACAAGAACACTGACAATCTCATGTAAGATCGTCAGTGTTCTTGTGGAAATACTGTGCTGCTCCTGTTCGGGCAACAGCTCTCTTGCGCAAATCATTTGCTCAAGAGGGCCAGCCTAAACAGCACAGTACTGTTTTCCTCAAAAAAGCCCCGATCGTGAAAATGGCGATCGGGGCTTTTTTGCGGAAAACCACGTCTAGATTGGCCACGGATCCTTTTCCACAAAAAGTGCTTTTGCGAAAAAGCATCCTGCTAATCTAGACGCGCTTTTCCGAAAATGCTTTTAACGGAAAACTTTTCCGTTAAAAGCATTTCTGGAAAATCATGCCAGTGTAGACGTAGCCAAGGTCTTTTCAGGTGCTGTGATTCTATGAACCAGATTATTTAGATTTTTAACCAAATGGTAATGTTTGTGGAAAGTGTCTGTTTTTGTGAAAATATTATACTCAATGGAAAATTGAAACATTTTCCACTGAAAACTGAAGATGCTCTTAGCAGAGTTTTTTTTGGGGGGGAGGAGGACAAATTGAATTTTTCCAGTGGAGAGAGGTGAGGGAGGTCTCCCATTAACTCTACTGACAAAGAGCACTCTAGTGTCTGAAATGCAAGACTATCTTTCCTTTTAAGTATTTTTAACTAATAGTGTTCTTTTAAGACTGTCATCCTTATCAGCATATTAGTGTACCTTGGTCTTGAAGTTTTCCATTCAGAGTAATTTTCTAAGCTTTCCCCTTATAGAATTGTATAACATGTCTTGACTTGAGGTACAGTAGGTGTTGAACAAAAATACTTCCACTTTTTTACTTATTAGGGTATGGATGTAAGATAAATCCTGTCTTGTTCCTTCTTGTTGAGGTGCATTAATTGTATAGGATAACATTCCTCAGAAAGGTGATGGTACAAGATTTCGTGCAGCTGCTATCTACTTTAATGCTCAAGGCTCTTAATGTTCAATCTATTCAGACTATTTCTGACCCCAGTGGCGCCGGTCATGCCCAGAACTGTAATAATTACTAACTAAACATAATTCATATGATTTATTTCAGGAAAGTTTTTATTGAGATAACTTGTTAAAAAAATCCCTATCCAGCTATTTTTACTAAAGTAAGTCAGACAGTGGACCCTTGTAAGAGCTGACAGATTCACAGCACCAGCTTGCATAGTTGTAGTTATACAGATTTACTTATGGTGACACATTTGAGTTCACAAAATATGTACTAGCTCCTCGGTGGATTTCCCAAATTTCTTCCCATATAAAAGACAAATGGCAACATAAAGAAAAAGTGAACTAAAGCTTGGTCAATCCAAGTGTAGATTTTTCAAGCTGCTGCCCCTGAAACTGAGTATAGCAAACCCATGATTGTTACCAGCATTTCACACACAAGGAGGTGCATGCTTGCACTACCTCGCATTAATGTGTACATTGCATGGTTTAGTTGGAAATGCTTTCTTTTGGCACACTTGCTTTCTCAACATTATCACATACAAGAAGCTAAATTTTGCATTCCTTACTGCAGTCCCACTGAATCCAATGGGACTCCCCACTGTTTGCTTCTTCATATCATAATAGGCCAGATTGCCAGATACCTCCTGTGACTTCAGTAATGTTTGCATCAGGCCACAAATGAAGAACTAATTTATTGTGCTATAAGTGCCTTTAAAAAGGTAACAAGTACTCAAAACCAAATCACCACAGGGGGCAAATGACTATTCCATTTTCAGCTATATTATTATCAAATCAGATTTATGAAGTCAATAAGAGGAACAAAATACAAGGGGTCAGTTATCCCATATTTAAGATTTCTCTGGGCTCATTGCCTTACCAGGGTACTGATACAACTACAAAGAGTACTGAACATAGAAGTGTTCTTATTTACACTATGATAACTTCTTCCCGTCAAAGCTTGTGTCTCAGGACCGTTTGTCCTGTCCTGCCACTGAGACATCACCTGTCTCCCACAAGATGAGTGACTAAAAGTGAGATCAGTTAAATATAGAGGGAAAATCCTATGATTTCCCTATGCTGTGGGTCTGAATAGAAAAAATATCTTCCTTTATGCAAATACTAAGTCTTGGCTATAACAGATAGATTTAATTTGCTGGTTTTCTGGCTATGCTGTTCCTAATTTAGTTACACTATTAAAGCGCATTAACCTCCAAATTACTGTCTTTGGCTCTTTTAAGTTTCCTCTCATGCCGGTACTTGTATGTGTGAAGCATTTCAAGTGATTTGCTTTGACTATACTGTATGGTACTTTGATCAGGTAACTCATACCCCCCATAATCATCAGTCTCTGAAGTGTGAAAGACCATAGTCATGATCAAATGTTTCCTTTCACACAGAGACGTTTCCGTTGCCTTTTCTTTTTAGCTGGCATCTGAGAATAAGCATAACAGCTTATATTTTGCTGGAATCTAAGCCATATCTTTAAGAAGCAAGAATCAATTCTTTCGAATGAGTTTAAAAATAACATCTGCAGACAGCATGTTGTTAGCCAAGCAGTGTGTGTTCCTTTCTTCTCCTTGTATATTGCCAGTCTTATGGATTTCATTAAACTCTCTACAACTTCTTGTGTTTTTGTCTACTCATGTTTTTTTCTTTTATTAATTCATGATTTAAAGCTGAATCCTGCCCTGTGAGTACATTTCACTGGATTTGGGGTAACATTTTCAAAAACCTCTAAATTCCATTTTCAAGAGATATTCAGAGTCCATCCACTACCGCAAGTCCTTGGGATTTAGATGTTGAAGTGCATAGATCTCTTTTGGAAATAGTGCTTAAGATTCTAAATCATTCAGGTGCTTTTGAAATGTTTACCCCATGAATTTATAAGTGTTGTACAATCCAGAAAATATACAGTCTCCTTGTATATGTAAACTTTATAAAGAAAAAAAAATTGTATTTACAGTTACAATGTTTTTGCATCTGCTCCTGTTAGTAAACGTTTTAATTGGCTCCCTACTCTGTCTGTTCTAATTGGATCTCATTATAAGTCTTAGTCTTTGGTTAAATCCAGATTTTACTTTTGGAATCTCTTCAAAGCTTTGTGCAATTTAAAACAATTTCATCTGCCCTACACATGTCACCATCCTTCACATTTTCAGTAAACTCAGTAAAATAAAGAGAGATAAACCCATAATTGTGTGTATCCAGTGATCTCTGAGGATCACAGCCACTGCCAGACTTTATATTGGTGATTCACACTGGTGCATGAGACAGAACCCAGATGTTGTACAGTCTGTTTCAAATCCAAAATCACTCTCCCGCTGCCCTCAATGCTTGCCTTTTTTTTTTTTTTGGAAAATTTTGTTATGGTAGGAATGGGAGAGTTTTCCTATTCAGCTTCAGGATCAAAACTCCCATTGATGTGAAAGGGAGTTTTGACTTCCAAATTATGTTGAAGTCATTTCCAGGAGGCCTAGACCTATCTTCACAGCCAGATTACATGTATCCTGGAGAATCTGTCTCCATTGAATTATATCTTCAGCACTTTATTTCAGATGCACAGGGGACAATTTACGATGAAGTATATTTCCTTGTATGCTTTTTGCTCTTCTTGGAGAAAGATGCCAGCTATTTGTGTGTGTTACTGATGAATTGTTTTTGTTCATGCTGTACTTGTGTGTAGAGGGCGAATGCCAGCTAATTCCTTTATGTAATGCATGCAGATTGGGTGGAATTCAGTCCGTATGAGATTGGTATGGCGAAGTATGGCACATTTATGCCTCCTGATTTGTTTGGAAGTAAATTTTTTATGGGAACAGTGGTGAAAAAGCATGAAGAAAACCCCCTGCACTTTTTAATGGGTAAGTGAATGATGGAAAGTGAATCATTTAAATAAATAAATAAAACAAAACTGACATTTCAGTTCTCATTTCTCCAGTGCTTTTACATTTCAGTCTTTCTTTAATGAAAATAGCCTGACATAACAGTAACCTCTGTACAAAAAGTCATAGATAAGAGTGAGGTGGGAGCCCTAAGAATGGTTCCCTACTCAGTGCTGGGAATGTCATGAAAGTGTGACAGCTGCACATCTGAGTTTAGGATCTGAACTGTTCAAAAATCTCATTGTTTGTGTTCTTCCAGTGCATTCTCAAAGTACATTATCTATGTAAATAATTTCATATACCTTTTGTTCTGTACGTTTCCACTGATTTATTCATTTTCTTCCCCCTTCAGGTGTCTGGGGCAGTGCATTTTCTATCTTATTCAACAGAGTACTTGGAGTTTCCAATTCTCATAACAAAGGTCCCACCATGGAAGAAGAATTAGGTAATGTAACAAAACGAATATAAACCTCTTAGGCTGGGGTTACACTTCAGCTTTTTCTGATTTTTTTTTTCGGAAGAGGCTTTTCCAAAATTTGGCCCGTCTACACTGGGCCAAACTTCAGAAAATCCCCCTCTTTCAGAGGATACCTTCTTCTTTATGGAACGAGGAATACAGGGGCTTCTGACAGAGCGTGTTTACTCTTCCACATTTTTTTTTTTTTTTGCGGAAGAGCAGTTGCATTCCCTTGATGTGGCAGAGTTTTAAACCCTGCAGTGTAGACGTATCCTTAGTGAATTAACAACTCAAACATTGCTATCATTCTAGTTTGTGGTATAAGGCACTGTGCCTACCTTTTCTTGCATGTCAAAAGTCAGGGAAACTTACTTTCACCAGTTTATATTGATAGACACCAGCAAGAAGTTGGAATGCCGGGGAATAGAATTAGTATTTTTGTACTTTTTCAATACATGTCCCATTACTATCTATTTCTAGTTTGAATAGGCACCACACCTGATCTCTGGAGAAGAGCTCTTACACATCAATATTCTTTAAGCAGACTTTTTAAAAATGTGAAGATTTAAATATAAATACCCCAAAAGCTCTTCTGATTGATGTGGTCAACTTCTGGAGCCAGCAGTCTAAAAACCTGCCCTTAGGGCTATGTGCTCTTATAAAAAATGTCTTGGAAGATGAGACCGCCCCTGTAATTGGCAAAGGGTTAATGGAGCTTTTCACCTTTTGGTTGCCAGTTTCATTGCATTCCATTCTAGAGTGCCCTAAATTTTTACTGCCTGATGGTGGTTTAGTTTCTGTGAATTTAGTTTAGTGGTCTCCATTTACTTTCTAGTGGACTCCCCACATCATTGTAGGGTGGGAAGTGTTGGAGCTTGATGGTTGCTATGAGGTACCTCTTTCAAAAGTGCTAGTTTGGGGTTTTGCAAAAGTTGTTGATATTCAAATAAATATTGAATGTGTCCAGAGACTATGGACACATGGAAATGCATTTAAATCACTGAATAAACTGAAATAGTTAGTGCCTTGATTGATAGAATGGGTGTGAGGATGAGGGCTGGCTGGGAATAAAAACTCAACTATCTCTTCAACCTAGTGGTTAGAACTATTGCTGCTGCTCTTGTCTTGTGGCAAATAGAAGAATTCAGCCTAGTGGGCTTTCTGTCTGATATATGTCATGAGCAGCAAAACTCACTTCATGAAGAAAAAGTAATTTGGTTAAAATGAACCCAGATTACTTATTACATTAAGGTATTGAAACATAGAAATGTAGGCATTAGAGAGCAAACTAGTGCATGCTTAACTTTGTTTTAAGTTATACCTGTACTAAATGCTTTACTAGAATAGGGATTTAGCATGATTTGAGTATCTGTTTTTTATACTTACAATGAAAAAAATTGAAAAATATATTTGGGATCAGACCTTGCTCTTGGTTTGAGATGTTTCAAGTGAGAATTTATCATGGAAAAGGTGATGAAACCTGAACTATATTATAGTGTCCAAAGCATAAAACTTTTGTGATAATGTTCTGGCCTATTGAAATCAATGACAAAACTTCAGTCGAACCAAGATTTTACCCAAAATATATAAGCCACACTTAACATGAGAATTAAATAGCCTAGTTCTCATATCTTTTTTTTGTAAAGAAAATTAATAACATCCAAAATCTCTGTGGTTTTTTAATATTTTCCTTTTTTTGTTGATAATTTTTGTCTTATCAGATTTTATTTGACATCGTTGGTACATTTGCCTTTTTTGCATATTTTAGCATTGACGATAGTTTAGAAAGTGCCCAAATGGCATATTTGGTTTTCAGGAGTGAAAATATCTAAGGAGGAAAACTAATGACAAAGGCTTGTGTGTTTGTGTATTGATTTCTGCAGAGTAGTATCTAACTTTATAAGGGCTAGTCCTCATAATCAACATAGATACAGCATTATATGTAGAGCACATTTAAATTAAATTTTCACATGCCTTTTGTTAGCCTGAATCTCTCCCAGCCAAACTTTCTGTTTTGAGTCAGCAGAAGTATTGGAAATACAGTGTCTCTACTTGCCTAATGGTTTAGTTGATTTTATCCTTGATTGCCATTTATATCAAGTCTGTTATCCAATCCCAAACATAGATTTTTATGCCCAAAATGAACTGTTTCATTTTATTGCCGTGACAAAAATTTACTTTGTCATAAAACACACGGGTGATTTTCTTTAGGAAAAGGCATTTGGTTAATGGTATCTGTTCAAAACAATTATGAGAATCCATTCAACTTTCAGCTTCAGTTACTTATAACTTGTTTTCATATTTCTAGTACAGACTACCTTGGGGAGGAAGAATTTTTAAGGGTGCAATTTTTAAAGGACTCTGGCACCAAATTCCCATAGATAGAAGTTGGGTGCTACTTTCCTTTTACAGCTTTTGAAAATCCCAATTTAAGTCTTTAGAAATTAGTTTTTGCACACAAATTAATCTCCTTTATGAGCTATTAGGTCTGACAGTGAAATGTATCACTGCTTTAATTGCACAGCTCTCAAGAATCCTTTACTTTTTTTTCCCAATGTTCTTTAGTGGTTTTGGGAAAATCCCAAGTAATTTGCAGGTTCAGGCTGGTTTTGAGTGTTTTGTGTACAAAAAGTTATCCTGATGGAAAATACATTTTTGCCAAATAGGTATCTTGTGTTCATTCTCTTGATTTATGGTGTGAAATGTGAAATGCCTGCTACTCCACTGACATTAATTGCTTTGGCCTAACTGCTGATTTTTTGTTTTTCTCTCCCAAGTTGATTTGTATTCGATTTGTTTAATTATCTTGTTTTGTGTTATGTCCCATAAAGTGGAGAGGTCTTGATATGTGCATGGTATTCCAATTACCACAAATTAGAGGCATACATTCAGAGGACAATATATGGCCATGTGGTCAGGTTAAAGTAGTTTTATTTTGTGGGCTTATAAAACCATCATTAGTTTTGTTAGTTTGCTGAATATCTTGGGGAAATCATCCCTAGGATAAGCAATTGTAATTTGCAACAGATGGTAGTGTGCATTAGGGATGTTAAATTTTGTTTAATCAACTAGTTGATGGAATTTCCATCGACTAATCGATTAGTCAATAAGCGGGGGAGCTGCAGCGGAATTAGCTCTTGGCCCTGGGAACTAACCCCACTGTGCTTTTGCTTTTTAAATGCATTAAGAGCCTGTTGGCTCTTAAGTTTGAAAGTCAGGTGCACAGCATGGGAGACCGCACGTGAGCCAGGACAGCTGATTCCTGGCTTGTGTTGGGTCTCCCCCTGCTGTGCTTCTGCTTTTTAAATATATTAAGAGCCAGCAGGCTTTTAATACATTTAAAAAGCAGACACCGTGTCTGAGACTGGGCGCAAGCCGGGAATCAGCTGATTTCCAGCTCGTACATGGTCTCTGCTACTCCTCTTCCTTCCCTGCCGCCTACGGAGACAGTGCTGGGTGGACTGGCTTTTAATAGACGCAGCAAGTGGGGGGAGGGTCAGAAGAGATTTGTCAAGGGACTAGTCGACTGTTCAATAAGCTTATGCTTATCAGATAGTCGACTAGTCCCTTACATCCCTAGTGAACATCGCCCATGCTTATGCGTAACCTGCACCTCAAATTCCACCTGCTCTTCAGAGGATTTCTTGCCTTTCAAAGAGAATTCCATTGGGTAATACTGAATTCCTGCAAAAGAGGGCAAAGCTGGATCTCACACAGCTATGTCCAAATATAATTTGAGACACTACAGCGGTCTTTCTTAGTTTTCACTTTTTATCTATCACAGTGATGCACCTTGTCACTTTTTGGATCTAGTAAACTATTTTCTAAGGTTAGAGTTACCAGTTTAAGATATTTTATTTTGTTTTTTCCCCAACAGAAAATATTCGGCTAAAGCATCTTGTGGGCAATGATAGTTCAGACAGTGAAGATGAATCACAGGCACCAAAAGGTAAGGAAAGCCCCATGGTCTAGGACATGTCTCTACTCCACTTTCTGTCTAAAAATTTAATGTTTAATGTTGGCATGTCTAGGCAAAGCAAGGTGATTGTCACGGCAAAAGTAAATTAAGGGACCTCTGTTTGCTATCAGTAAGATAGATACACCCTTACCCATGTAGGTTGTCCTTTATTATTCCCATTGATGCCCATGGTAAAAGTTCGGTGCTTGAGTCAGCTGTCTTAAAAATATCTGTGCCTTGGTGTTGGCTTAGAAAGGGCAATAGACCTGGCAGAGGCCTTTCCCTTTATATCAGCCCAGACTATTCAAGATGGTAAACAAATGATCTCTCAGAGACTCATGCTTTAACATTAGCTCAGAAAGCCGGCAGTGCTGCTCTAATCATCCTCATTGAAGCCCAAGTCTTCACCTAAGCCTTGAACAGGAGAGTTGTGGGGCCAGTAACCTCCTCACGCCACATTTCCCAGCACGCTGAAGTTGATGAGCTGGCAAATTCACCAGTGCTTATGGCTAAGTCATCCGCCCAGTCAGCTGTTGATTTCAAAGGGCCCTTAATCAAAAGCTCTGCTGAGTGTGGCTCGCTTTGAGTCCACTGTCTCTGATTAGCTTTTCCAGTGCTTCCTGATGACTGTGTGAGTGGGGTTGGTATTGCCATTCTGGACCCTATGCCACACATTGGGTGAAATGTTCCAAAGCACCATTTCCCAAAGTGCCTTTGACACTTAAGAAGATAAGTCTAATTGAAAGTCAGTGGGGCTTCAGCTCCTATGTGCCTGCGTTACTTCTGGAAATGGGATTTAGATCCTAAGTCACTTAAGCACTTTTGAAATTTTAACCATTACCTCCATCTTGCCCACATAGCTTGTCTCTATTTTTATACTTGGAAACGGTTGAAACTGGGAATGGGCAACGGGAGACCGTGATGATTATTTGTTCTGTTCATTGCCTCTGGGCCACCTGGCATAGGTTGCTGTTGGAAGGCAGGATACTGGGCTAGCTGGATCTTTGGTCTGACCCAGGATTGCTGTTGTTACATTCTTATGTAAAATCCCTTATCCTTTCCCGCACCTGCTTCATCATAGTTTTGGGTGTCTCTATTTCTTCTACAAGAATTGACATTGCTGCTAACAACTAAAGCAATGAAGAGAATGCAGCCCCATGCACTGGGTTAGGGTTTAATGATGCTGCCAGCGCTGGCAGGAAGAAAACAGAACCTTTGAATGAGAGCTCTAGTCAAGAAGGAAGCTTATCAGTTCTCCTTTGGTTTGAAATGTGGGGAAGAGGGAAGATACCAAATTCTGTGTCTATTTGCACATGTCCTGTTTCAGTGTCACAGTAACCAGCAGAAAGAAAATAATAATTGTTTACCACCACGTGTGTCTTTAATTGGTTTACGCCGCTTGATTTGTGGCACTAGACACCAGGGCTTGGCATGATTCTCCCACTTGACCAGGATCAGGTGTGCAATGGGACCTGCAGATCAGCCTCCCGACTATTCTGACACTTGCTCTACTCCTATTTAAATGAAATCACATCTTTGTGGAGCCTGGATTAAAGAGAAAAATGAGAGCATTACACTTGGAACATCAGGCCTGATCCTAAATTTCTTGAACACTCTAAACACCTGTAGAAGCTGGTGAGCGTTCAGAGAGCTCCAGCTCATGCCCCACAGGCAGTAAGACCTTTCGCAAGTTTCAGTGGAAGCTAGAGGTGTTCATCAGGTTACGTATATATAGGAGCCCTGCTTTTTGCTTGCATTTATAGCTTACTTGGGTGGGTTATCAGTACAATCTTGACCTAACATTTAGATTTTTAAGAATTATTTTTTAATAAAGCAAGATCAATAGAAAAACTTTTGTGACTTAATTTTCAGTTTTCTCTGTTACGTCGCTTTGTAGAATGTAAGATTCAGCTCAGTAGCTCCATCCTTATGTATATCTGTATCTCCCTTAGAGCTGTGAAGATATAGCTCTGACTTTTCACACAGGTGAAATGCTGCTGACCCCTTCAACTGCATATGAAGTCTAAAATGCAGCACTACCAACATGGTTCCACCTAGCCGGGTCTAGATCATGCGGCAGGGGTCTCCTTGGAACACGGGGGTTTGGCATGGCCGGGAGATACACTGGAGAGGCCAGTGAATCTGCTATTATGTGGCTCCACAGTATCCAGAATCCCTGAAATCTCCAAAGTCGCACTAGCAGCAGCAGTCAAAAGGGGAGAATTCCTACAGCTCCCCTTAAATGCTCTGTGTGCGAGAGCAGGGTTGGTCCTAGAGAGATCATAGAATCAGAAAATATTAGGGTTGTAAGGAGGCCATCTCCTCAAAGCAAGACCAACCCACTTAAATCATCCCACCCAGGGCTTTGTCAACCTGGGCTTTATAAACCTCTAAGGATGGTGATTCTATCATGTCCCTACCTAACATGAGATGGGAAAGCTGCCTTTCGCTTCAGTGGGGTGTTGAAGCTGAGGCCTCATGTTGACACTTTGCATGTTAACTGTTTCACCGCTGATCATTATTTTACACACAGGCTCTGAAAATCCTGAGGCTGAAAACGAACTTCAAAATAGCAACCAGGAAAGTTGGGTCCAACGCATGCTGATGGCCTTGGTGGGCGATAGTTCCCTTTTCAACACCAGAGAAGGACGTGCTGGAAAAGTACACAACTTCATGCTGGGCTTGAACCTCAACACCTGTTACCCGCTCTCCCCTCTATCAGGCCTAGGGACTCAGGAATCTATGGAGGAGGATGAAATGGATGCAGCAGTTGCAGGTTAGTTCACAAAATATCCATGCACTGCTTTTCTGTTGGTGAAAGAATAAACCATGAATTGCAATTGTGAGAACCTATCATTAGACTGGAATGGTAATAGCTGAACACTTCTGAAAGCTAGAGCACATTTGCACAGGGGCAATCTTGAATATTTACAAGCACATTGAGATCCTAAAGATCACTGGTGCTATAAAGTGCAATGTATTATTCCTGAATGAGGCCAGGTGAGGTCTGGCTGAATCAGGACTGACTCCACAGAAGTGCAGTATCGTGTTAGTTCTATATGTTGCCCACTGCTAAGGCCGCCTTTCAGATTCAGTAGAACAACATACTTACTGGTAGGGTGAAGAGGAGTTGCTCTTTCCTTGGTAGAGAAGACTAAGGTGATTTGTATACCTGGCCACTCCTGGCTGTCTTGAAAGACCTACAAAAGACGCATGTGGCACATCCCATCATACTCTTTTCATCCTCTCTTATTAGCATGGGTCAGCAATTAGTCTTGCCAAACAGCATGATGTTCCTTCCTAATTGCTTCTTCTTCAATTCCCTGTCCCTTATTAACTTCCTCCACATTGCATTTTTCATAGTAGATCAGCAACAAGAACAGATAGCTCACACTGCATTTTTCATTTGCAGAAATCCAAGTATCAACTTCTGCCTCAATCTCCTTCCTGCTCTCATAGTACTCTCACCTTCTTTCCTGTCACTGACCAAAGTTTCTTGCCTGCTTTTGTCAAACACCTTCACATGCACTTTTGACCCTACCCCTCTTTCTTCTCCTAACTACAGTAGGCTTTTTCTTCCACTCTCTCTTACTGCCCTTCTTCTTTGTCCAATTACAAATCTCTATGAATATGAACAAATCTTCTCTCTAATCAAAATGAATTGTCCTTCAGCCTCCCCCTGCTCCTCTGCCTTTC